ACGTGTACCCAAATCCATCCACCCTCACAAAAGCATCTCCTTCCCCAGATGTTCCTTGTCCAGCTGTGGCCCTGCCTCTCCCCCTTGGTTTTTTCCTCCTTCTATTAATAAACCTGGCACCTGGAGAGGAATTTTCCCTGTAAACACCCAGCCTCACACTTTAGTGACTTTTGTTCTGTGTTTTAATTAACGAACTGGAAAAAATGTCAATTGTTACCCACCACAGGCACGTGTGTCCCACAGGCTGCCAGAGCTGTGTCCTTCCTACTCAGTCCCATGCTGTGGTCACGGGGCAGAGCCACCCTGACCCTTTGCCAGGGGAAAAATAGGGGATATTTGAGGGTTTGCACCCAAATTGCTGTTGCAGTGCTGCACCCACACATGGCATTGCTTCAGGGGGGTCTGGGGGCTCTCCCTTGCCCAGACCCCCCCCATCCCAGATGGCCAATCCTGCTGGTTGACCACGGTGCAGCCCAGCCCACCAAAACTGGACCCCTTGCACTTTCTCACCACCCCCAGCCCCACTGGGCAGCACACTGGACCGGTTTTGTCAGGGAATATTCACCAACCTCCGAGGAGCCAGTACTCCCCAAGAACACTGCCTCATCCCAGCCGTGCGTGCCTGGGACGGGGAGAAACGCTGGGGAGCTGCAAAAGACATCAAAAAAACTCATGTACTGCCTGCAGCAGCGCTGGGGCTGCAACCCGGGAGAAACGACCGCTGTTTGGCATGGAAGGAACTGCAAAGGAAAGGGTCTTGTGAGGATAGCGGGAGCTGCACGGCGGGAGCAGGCTGTGCTCCGCAGGCTTCCCACAGCTCCAGAATGAGCTTGGAACGGGACTGGCTCGTCGGCCGTGTGTGATGCCACCTCCTCCTCGCCCCTCTGGAGGGGAGGTGCTGCCGGCCCTGCGATGCTGCTGCGGGGCCCCGGCACCCCTGAGCCCCCGCCTTCGGTGCTCTCTGCAGCCGCCGTGACCTCGGGCATCTCCCTCCGTACCAGGAGCAGGGAGCAGCGCTGCATCCCGGCTTTGCCGCCGGGCCTCGGGCAGCGAGCAGAGGCTGAGCCCGGCGTGGGCAGTGCAGACAGGCAGCCCGTGGGCAGGGCGCTGCCCGTCTGGGGCTGGGACACCCCGGCAGCCAGCTGCTGCCCGCTTTGATGCGGAATCCCTCAGGCTCCGCACAATGCATGCTGGAGCGGGATGAAGCAAGGGTGATTGATTGCCTTGTTTTGTTCCTCCAAGGCTGTCCTGGACCGTTTGGATTCACAGCCGAGGTCCCTCGAGAGCAGGGGGGGGATGGCAGTGTCCACCCAGGCTGCAGGGATGGGGCTGTGCCTCAGTTTCCCCATCGCTGCTGCCCCCTTGGAAGGTGTTGGAGTCTCTGGACGAAACACATCCCATGAAAACGGCCCTCGTTGTTCTCAGGTGTGCTGGGCATCCCTGGAATTAAGGCAGGCAAAGGGAGTGCAGGAGCCCCGCCAAGGGTAAAGCTCGTTGGGACTCCAGCATGTTGACCTCCGAAAAATGGAGTTTCACTCCATCCAGTTGATGAGTCACGACTGTGTTTGTGTGATGTGCTCCCTGCGAGCAAGGTTTCCACCACAGAACTAACAGGCTGTTCTGGGAAACACTGGGGTTCTGGGTTTCCTAATTATTTTCAAACCCTACTGGCAGCCTCCCTCTGACAAGGATCACGCCTGCTCGAAGCACAGCGCTCGAGTGTGTTCAGAGTCCTGAAGCACTAATTGACTTTAGCTCGGCCTCGCTGCTGAGCGCCGGCTCTTGCAACCCCAGTCCCTCCTCCTGCCACTGCAGCGAGTCCGCCCGCATGTGGTTTGCATTTCTTCCCCGGAGAAAATCCCCCTTTCTCCTGCCTCAGTGTCATCTTTCCCTGGAACTGAATTTAGGGGAAATGAAGAGGAGGCCACATTTTCATGGAGTGACTACCTACCCTCTCAAGGCAATGGTGGGACCGAGGCGGGAAGCCCATTCCAAGCACCCTTGTCCCACTCCACACCCGCTGGCACAGTGGTTTCAGTCACAATCAGGTGGCTGCTTGTTAGCCAGTAAGCCCTGGGTGGGGGTGAGTGTTGAGCAGAGCGTGGAGGAGCTGCCCCAGCACTGCTGGCTCTCCCTGTTCTGCAGCAAGGGATCCCTCCCACTGTGTGCTGGGAAAGTGGTACCTGCATGGAGCAGCACGGAGATCCTGGTAGGAAACATGGCAGTGCCATCAGCATCCGGCCCTGATGACCCTGGGTGAGGTGATGCCCAGGGGCTTTCCCGTCCACGGGAGAGGAGCAGTAGCGAGCTGACCCCGAGGCAAGCAGCAGCCTTCAACACCTGAACATGAGCCAGGGATTATCCACGGCCCCTCTCGCCAGGCCCTGGGTCACAGCCGGCACACCCAGCACGGCACAGGGGTGAGCCAGCTGCCCTGGCCGCGCCGGCTGCCATTCCCAGCACGGAGGGCTCGCGGGCTGCCAGCGGGGCGGGTGGTTGGGAAATCTGTTTCCTCTTCTGCTCGTTACAACACTGCAGTGGGCGCATGCAACAGGAGCTGTGAGGCAGTGGGAAACTATGAAGGTCAGGGGAGGCTGCGGTTTGTGTGACGGAGGTGACCCGGGCTGATGCATCCTTCTACCTGCTTCGAGCACCACCGCCCTGCCGGAGCAGCTCCAGACATCACCTCCCCTGGGACATCACCCCTGTCCACGTTCCAGCAGGGAGCAGCTCACCACAGATTGTATACCTGGGTAAAAGAGTGAGGAAAATGGCCAAGGGTAGATTCCCCGGTGCAAGAGCTGGGCATGAACACGCGAGAGGTGTCAGGGCTGCTCCAGGGGCTTTGCTCAGCTCCTGCAGCATCGCTCTCACTCCCAGCCATGCTCCAGCAGCCACAAAGAGGACATGGCTGCTCCGACGACGGCACTGGCGTGCCCGGCAGCCGCCGTGACGCACTCGCAGCACGACCGCGCCAGCTCTGCAATCCTCGTCACCTCGTTAGTGACTTGGCTGCTGATCCCAGCCGGGGCCGGGCCGTCCGTACCTCCCACACAGCTCGCAGGCCCCTAACTCGCATTAGGGGGCTGCTTTCATGTGGCCAGTAGTTTTCAACATCAGCAAGCCACAGAGCGAGCGAGGCGCTGGAGCAGAGGAAGGAGCCAACGGGGAGTCGGGCGACGTGGGCCAGCGCGGCACTGTGGGCACTGGAGCGGTGGCTTTGATGTAGTGGCAGCCAGCCCTGAGTCCACGGGCTCAGGTACAGGGGGGTCTGGCTGCCAGGAGAGACTCAAGGCAAGGGGATGTATGGAGGTATCCCGCTTTCCCTCTGCTTTGCCCACAGAAGGGCTGCACAGGCCAAGGGGGACGTGGCACCAGAATTCTCTTCTCATGTGCAGTCTGGGTTACTGACACAACACGGGGAACTAAGAATGGACACGGAGGTGAGGCCACAGGAGGACAGCCCCGGGGTCGGATGGGAGCGCGTGATGATGGGCGAGAGGGTAGAGAGCAGATGGTGGGTGAACAGGAATGGCAGCAATTTGGATGGGAAAGGGAAAGCTTGGTAAGCACTCGGCAGAGCTTCTGTGTGATCCCACTAAGGCACCAACAGCTCCTGAGGCCACTGGTCCCAAACATCCATGTGCTCTGGCACCTGGAGCAGCTCTGCAGGAAGGCGGGGGAAAGTCCATTAGCAGGACTGGGATACAGGAATGAGGGGAGACCCACAATTTCAAACTCTGCCTCAGGAAGGGGAATTCAAATGGAGCCACTGGTACCCGCCTCACCCACCCAGGGCCAGGCTGTGCCGGGAAAGTGAAATGTGGATGTTGTCAAAGTCTGCAACCACAGCCTCTGCCCTCCAGGAGCGAGCCGAGCCATGGGGTGGAAATGCTGCTGCTGCTCTGAATCACATCTCAGCGATGGAGAAGCTCCGGCTGAGGCATTTCCTGCTGTTCCCAGCACATCCCCATCTGATACCTCCCTCATAGAGCTCCTGTGCTGAAATCCCAGCCCCCTGGAAAATCTGCAGTAGCTTTCCTGACGTGTCCAGCTGTCTTCCGTGAAGACAGGAGTGGCAGAGTGTGGCAGGAGGTGCGGTGTCTCCTGGTGGTGATTCCCACGGGAGCTGCCGGGCTGCGGTCGGTTGTTCAGCCTCAGTGACTTCTTGAGGGGGAAATGGAAAGAGCGAACAGTGCGAGTTAATTAATTGACGCATAATGAAGTCAAGATGAGCATCCCCAAGGAGCTGGAGCTCAGATTGGGAAAGCAGCAGATGATGGTATTCCCCGGCATGGGGCTGCTTCATCCCAAGCCCCGGCCTCCTGCCAGCCACAGCGAGGACACTGGCTCTGGCCCAAGGGCAGGGCAAATAAGCCTCTGAATAAGCCTCTGAACGCCTTCCAGTGGCAACTTTAATAGAATTTAGGTGTTATAAACACTGGCCCAGAGAAGGGAGTTGTGAACGGGATGAAATAAAACCATCAGTGGCTGCTTGGTGCTTTGGTCCCTTTGGTGTCGGTGGGAAGGCTTGCTACAGCTGCACATGCAGACCTGTAGGGACTCAAAATGCTTTTCTGATTGACAAGGAAGAGCCAGTGGCAGGGAAGGATCACTCTAACCTGGAGGCTGCTGGATGGTGCTAAACAAAGACCTCTCATACGACCAAGGAATCCTTTAGGTTGGAAAAGCTCTCTAAAATCCTACGGGGTCCAACCGTACCCCTAGTACTGCCAAGGCCACCATTAAGCCACGTTCCCATGTGCCACATTTACATATCTTTTTAATCCCTCTAGGGACAGTGAATCCACTACTGCTCCGAGCAGCCTGTGCCAGGGCTGGATAACCCTTTCTTTGAAGATGTTTTCCCCAATATCCAATCCATACCTCCCCTGGTGTGACTTGAGATCGCTCCCTCCTGTCCTGTCCCTTGTCCCCTGGGAGCAGAGCCCAACTCCCCCCAGCTCCCCCCTCCTGCCAGGGAGTTTCAGAGCCAGAAGGTCCCCACCCTGAGCCTCCTTTTCTCCAGGCTGAGCCCCCCCAGCTCCCTCAGCCGCTTCTGCTGCTCCAGCCCCTTTCCCAGCTCCGTTCCCTTCCCTGCACACGCTCCGGCCCCTCTCAGTGTCTGTCTTGTCGCGAGGGACCCAGCAATGTCCCCAGGGCTCCAGGGGCCTCCTCGCCGCTCCCTGCCCGGCCCCGGGCGCTGCGCAGCGGACGGGGGCCCTCTAGTGAGGGGCGGTGCGGCCGCGGCTCCGCCCCGGCCCGGAGCAGCCATGGCGGGGCTGGAGCCTCTCTACGCCTGGGCCAGGGCCGCCATCTCCCGCCCGCAGGACGCGCTGGTCTGCGGCGTGCACTGGGAGCTGGTCAGGCACGGCTACCGCTGCCTGGGCACCGGCGATCAGGTACGGGCCGGGCCGTGCTCCTCCCCCGCTCCGCGGATGCCGCGGCGAAGCCCCGGCCTTTCCTGGCGCCGCTCGCCGGCGCCGCGCGGCCCAGCCCGGCCCAGCCCGGCCCGGCCACCGCTGCGGGGCGGGGGGAGCCCGAGCGGCCTCAGTGCTGCTGTGGGAGCCGGAGCGGGGGGCAGAGGGCTGGGGGCTGCGAGGGGTCCCCGTGCTGGGAGAGGTCCCAGTTCTGGGGGGGGGTCCCGGTGCTGGGGGTTGATCAGAGCCGTGTTGAAGGATGGGAGGTCCCGGTGCTGGGGGCAGTGGGGCAATACCAGGGTGCAGGGGTCAGGCTAGTTCTGGACCCCGTATTTAGGTGGGGATCTGGTGGGTTGGGAGCCTGATGTGCAGCTGGAGGTCCTGGGAGACTGTCTGCTGTGGTTCTGGGGGGCAGTGGGGCGGTGTAGGGCATTGTCATGGCAGAGAACCCCTCCCAGTACCAGAGGAGGGGACAGTGTAGGGCAGTGCCCTCCAGCAGTGCTGCTGTGGGGCTGGGACAGACACGATATCAGCCTTCCCCCAAAGCCAGACAGCTCTGTGTCACGCTGGGGAGGTGAGAGGTGCCTGGCAGGGAAGAGCACCTCTCTGAGGTCTTCTGGGCCTATGTTGCCTCCTCCCCATGAGGCTCAGCAAAGGGTGTTTATGTTCGTCCTGTTCCAGTACAGGGACTCAGGCAGGGCCAGGCCGAGAGATCCCCCTCCCAGAGACCTCAATCCCCTTCTGGATCTCCCATTGCATCCAAAATAGGTTTCCCCAGCCCTGGGAGGTAGTGCTGGGCTCCTGGGCAGGGTCTTGTCAGCCTATCTCTTCCACTGCAGCCAGGTCCTGATGAAAGGAAGTCGGAGCTGCTGCCTACTGGCTGGGAAGCCAACAAGGAAGTGTATACACTGCGCTACAAGTCCACAGATGATGCCCGTGAGCTGCTGCTGAAGGCCATCATGGTGGAGGACAGCATGATCCTCAACGTCATGGTGAGCACCCACGCAGGCCCCTGTGGGTTTGGGGTCCTTCAGGGTCAGCGGCTGCAAAGAACAGCAGGGCCCATACCTTAAATGTTTGTGCTTGCTTGTCCTGCCTGAGGGGCAGCAGTGTTTGCCCCTCAGGATGGGGCAGACCCAGGGGGTGTTTGTGGGGCCCAGCGTGAAGCTGGTCAAACCCTGGCTGTGTCAGGGCTCCTGGGGACTCAGGCACAGCGCAGGGACATGGCGGGAAGCAAGTGAGCCCCACTGTGTCCCAAGCCCCCAGCTGTGGTTGTACCTGCTCTGTCCCTCATTCCCACCTCTGCCAGGCTACTCACTCTGTGCTTTGCCTGTGTTTCTGCAGGATCGTGGCTCTCAGAAGGTGGCAGATGTGACCTTGGCAGTGGCCGACTATGTCAACCCAGAGCACCTAGATGATTTCCACAAGTAATCTTAGTTCCCTGGTGTTTTCTGCAGGAGAAAATGTCCCACTGGCATGGAGAGTGGGGGAGAAACCAGGCTGGGAGGAGCTGGAGGACTTTCCTCCCCAGTACAAAACCCAGGCCAGCCCTGAAATGCAGCCAGAGCTCCCTTCCCTGCCTCCCTATGTGCTGCTGTTGGGCAGGAGAGATTTAGGGAACAGTGGGACTGTGGGTTGGAGCCCAGCGGAAGGCATCCCACCTGGGAACAGGCCAGGCCAGAATGTTTACTTCCAGAGCACTGTTCTGGGTGGACACTGCCCAGGGCTGTGACAGCTTCAGCCCCAACCTAGACACCCCATGGCCTTGCTAAAGACCAGTGCCATGTGCTGTGCTTTCGTCCAGTGCAAACTGGTCAGACTGGGGCCACAGCAGAAGGGAGTCCCTGGGCTGGGTGACATCTCAGGCATCTGAAATGGGGTGAGGGCTTTGGTGCCCCTATGTGCTGTTACGTCTCCCTGTCCCCTCTGTGCTGCTAGTGGGGGATGTGTTTTGTGTCAGACACACTTTGGGCTTCTCTGTCCCCTCCTCACGCCTCTTGCAGCCTGTCCAGCACCTCACGTCCCGGTGCCATGGTCTACCCAACCCTGTGCCTTCCCTCTCCTCACTGCAGGGTGTACAAGAACACCGAGGAGCTGAGGACGAGGATCACTTCAGGCATCCTCACTCCCCTCGGGGCCCCCACAGAAAAGGCCAAAAAGGAGCCTGAATCCAAAAAGGATTTGCAGCGAGATGACGACCCCCTCCGGATCCCTCCCCGGCAGCCAGCGGGCACAAGGGCCCCATCCTGGTGAGTGAAGAGTGGGTGGCTGCTGAGGGCCCTCTCTTAGAGGGGATGTGATCCTGGCACAGCTCCCCAAACTACATGTCAGGTCCCATCTCATGCCTGTGGGAGCTGCTCTGCCCTTCCCTGAACATCTCACTGTGTTGTTTCAGGCCTTCTCCCGTGAACCCCTTTGCTGTTGGTGGGGAAGACCTGGACCCTTTTGGGTGAGTATGGCTGTTGGAGCACCCCCTGCCCTGCCTTTGGGAGGTGTGGGGGTGGCTGGAGACCACTGGAACAGCACCCAGCCAAGTGTCTCTGAGTGGGGGCGGTGGCGATGGGACAGTTGCTCGGTGCACATTGTGAGGGACCAATTGACAGTTGCTGAAGCTCAATCTGGTTCTAATATCGTAATAAGATCCCATCTCTTGCATAGATGATAGGTTGCAATCTGTGTCTGTTTAATAATCAGCTTGTATTCATTTAACAGGCAGTAATTCCTGTAGTAAATCAAAGTTGAATACATCGTTAAGTGAATGTAAGCCTCTAATTTAAACCGTTACCAGCTGCTGTGTCCCCAGCCCAGCAGTGTGCAGAAGGCGAGGCTGAAAGCCGAGTTCATGGATTCCCAAGTCCTGTTGCAAGCCTCCCAGCTGTCTGAGGCGCTCGGGCAGAGGCTGGGCTGTCTGGGGAACTGGGTTTCACAGATACGTCCTCGACCTTTGGTTTGGTCAGGCAAGGAGAACCTGTCATCTTCTAATCCAGTCAAAAGCACACTCAGTCAGACAAAAAACAGCTCTCGGGGTTGTTGTGGAGTGTCCTGAAGCCCAGGGGAGTCTCCTCTCTGGGACCAGTCTCCTGTGGGGATGGCATTTTTTCCCCTCCTGCAAATCTCATTTCTCCGAGGGTTTGGCTAGAAAAGGGACAGCTAAAAATGTTGCTGCCTCCAGCCCTTCATCAGAGATTTCTCTGTAAAGGACAAAAAAAAGATGGTAAATGGAAGCAGATTTGTGTGCTGACACCTGCCAGCGCTGGGGCTGGAGACCCAGACTCCAAGGAATATGCTCATGGGACCTGGCTGTCCTGGGGCACTTCGGGCAGCCGTTCCAGCTTAATGGAACTCATTAGCACGGTTGTTAATGACTTGTACGATGGCAGCGGTGTCCAGAGGCTCCAGCCGCGCTTGCACAAAGCCAGCCATGAGGAACTGCGCTCGCAGCGTGGGGCAGCTCCGAGGAGCCGCCGTGGTCAGCAAATGACTTCCAGGCAGCTCTTTGGAATGGCTTGTGGGAGCCTAGCCGGGGCCGCCGGCTCTTGCAACACTGCACAGGGCAGGACGGGGAGCAGGGATGGAGCAGAGAGAGCCATGGGTCCGACACCTCCTGAGGGGACAGCCAGCACCTCTGCTCTGGAGACAGGCTGAGAGAGCTGGGGATGTTCAGCCTGGAGAAGAGAAGGCTCCAGGGAGACCTTAGAGCCTCTTGCAGTGCCTAAAGGGCCGCCAGGAGAGCTGGAGAGGGGCTTGGGACAAGGGCCTGGAATGACAGGACAAAAGGGAGTGGCTTCACACTGACAGAGAGCAGGGTTAGATGGGATATTGGGAAGAAGTTCCTTCCTGTGAGGGTGGTGAGCCCCTGGCACAGGTTGCCCAGAGAAACTGTGGCTGCCTCATCCCTGGAAGTGTTCAAGGCCAGGTTGGATGGGCCTTTGAGCAATCTGGGATAGGGGGAAGTGTCCCTGCCCATGGCAAGGGGGTGGAATGAGATGAGCTTTAAGGTTCCTTCCTACTCAAACCATTCTAGGATTCGGTGCAGGGCTCTCTGTCTTTCTGCCTTGGGCTGCCTCACTGGCTTGTCCCAGGAGCTTTCCTTCCCACTGCCACGTGTTGGGTTAACCCCACATTGCCACGCTTGGCATTCCTGCAGCAGAGGTTTGGCACAGGGATGTGCTTTATTCCTCTCTCACCAGTGCCAATCTCATCTTCTCTGCCTTTCCTGTCCCCAGAGGTCGGAGTGGGGGAATGATCGTGGATCCTCTCCGATCTGGCTTCCGGCAGCCCGGCATTGACCCATCCTCAGGGATCCCAGGCCGGCTTCCCCCAGGAGCTGTTCCACCAGGCGCCAGATTCGACCCCTTTAGCCCCTTAGGAGCTGGGCGACCCGGGTAGGTCCTTGGCCGTGCTTGTGTTCCAGCCTGCTTCCAGCCTGCTGCTGGATCCCAGCTCATCCCTGCTGCTGCAGACCTGAGCTCTCACTCCTGCTTGACTCTGCTCCAAATTTCTTTCCAGGCCCGATCCCGATCACCTTCCCCCTCCAGGCTACGACGACATGTTCATGTGAGGAGTCACCAAGCGGCTGAGTCTCCTGGGAAGCAGGTGTGCTTCCCCTCTTCGCTCCACATCCGGTGGATTTAGGTCTTTCCAGCAGCGTTTCTCTCCATTTGGGGTCGCATTCCCGTGTGTCCCATCAGCTATAAAGGCTTCCCTGTTTGCAGAACGGAAGAGGAGGCAGTAGGTCCATTTCTTTTCTCCTGCTCCTCTGAGGGTGCTGGGCTCTTTGCGCCCAGCGAGGTGGCAGCGTGGGGTGCAGTGCTCTGGGAGCAGCCTGGGTGTTGTGGGATTTCTCCTCCGCTTCTCCAGGGTTGGAGAGCTTGCTGCTGGGGTCCCACAAAGCAGGGGGTGTGAGGAGAGAGCTGGCTCCTTGCTGCTCCTCTGCCAGGCAGCCCCAGCAGCCTCACTGAAGGGGACAGCTGAAGTGGGCTCCCCAACTCAGATGTGGTTTCTCTCTCGCTCTGTATCTGAGCAAGGCACTGATTGAAGGGCTGGAAAGCCCAACCCACGGGGGTCTCCATGGGCAGACCCCCCAACAGCAACTGGGATCAGCTTCTACAGGGCTGTGCCTGCTGGCTTGGAAGAGCACTACCAGCAAAGCATTTGATGTGCATGAGAAGAGACACAGATTGAATTCCTGGCCCACCTTGCCCCCTCTCTTCCCTGCAGCCATAGTGTTCTTCATTCCTGGGGTGTCCGTGAAGCTCCACAGGCAGCATGTGTGGGGCTGGGGTAGGAGCGAGGGAGCTTTGCAAAAGAGGTTTATAGAACACATTTTGCTACTGTCAGCCTTGTTATGTGTGGCTTTGCCTGTCTGGCTTTGGGAGAATGGGCGAGATGTGCATGCCTCAGGCTCCTGAGCTCTCTCTGGAAACCTCCTCCCTTCCCCACAGATGCCCCAGCTCAGTTGATTTTGGGGCTGCAGCTCATCTTTCTTGTCAGGGGCTCACACTGTTTTTCTTCTCGTGGTTTGATCTCTTGGAAGGATGTTTGTGAGACTGAAATAAAAACCTGACACGAGTGTTGTGTTGGTGCTTGCTGGGGTGGTGCCCTGCTCCTTGATGGGAAGCCCCAGAGCCCTTCCCAAGGCAGAGGATCCACGCTGGGAACCCGCTTTGTACCTTCCCCTGAGCCAGCAGCGCTTTTCCAAGACGTTGTAACTGTATTAGGAAAATGAAGTGGAGAGCAGCCCAGCCCAGCTTCTGCAGTAATTGCCTCTCCAGGGCATTAAGTGCTGTCAGAACGCCACATGCAGCTGCACTGGCAGAAATAAAAAGAGGGAAGGGATCCCCCTATCTATCTCTTTTCCCCAAAGACCTTTTTCCTTTTAAAACCTCTTTGCCTACAAATGCAGCTAATAAAGCTGTGTTACAGTGTGTGCCACCCTGGGCTGTGCACAGGTGGGAGCAGGGAAGGCCAGCCAGAGAAATCAGGCACTGGGGGCAACTTGGAGCATCCCCTGCATCTCCCATGGGCTCGTGTGTGGACCCCTACACGTGCAGGGGGTGGTTCTAAGCCTAGGCCCCACTGGATGTGCCATCCCAGCTGCACACCTGGTGGTTTTTCATGGGCAGCCTCACTTGCAGACCCATGGATGGGACCCAGGTGATGCCTGTGACCAGAGCAGCATGAGAGGGATGGGGAGACAGACCCAGGAATCGGTGAGGCCGTCACTCCTGCTTGTCGCCTCCGGCTCCTGGGACAGCCTGAACCCATCCACAGCTTTGTCCCAGGAGAACAAAGCCCCAAACCTTTCTGCTGGGGTTGAGAGACAGCAGACCCCAGCCTTGCTGTGTGGGGTGTTGGGGGAAACAGCTTTGCCCTCATCAAGGGGCCCCTCTCTGCAGGGGGGAGCCTGCTTTCTGTGCCTGAATTAATCATGTTCTGCAACCTTCCAGGAGGGAGAGACGCAGCCGGCTTTGATGGGGCTAATTAAAGCGAGTCAGCGCCGGGAGAGGCTGCGGCAGGGCCGAGGAACCGGCTTTTGTCTGCAGCGCCTGGCCCCGGCGGGCCCGTGGTGTTGTGCAGCTGGGAAACAGGTGGCAGGGGAGGGGAGTGGGTGCCAAAGGGGACAAGTGCCCACTGCTGGCCTGTGCCTGAGCCTCGGGGCTGTCAGGGCTGAGCCATCCACTCTCTAGAGAGGATGGGTAAAAGGAGGCAAGGATCCTCCTCTCTGGGTCAGAGGATGGTAGGATCAGGACACTGGGTAGCTGTCTTGGCTCACACTAAAGGAGACAGAGCATGGCAGAGGAGGCTTCTGAGGGCCAGTGTTCCCAAACACGTTCCTTGTTCCATCTGTAGGCATGGCCAGGCCAGACCGCATTCCCTATGCATGGTTTGGGGTCAGTCACCTCCATTGCGGGCTCGTACCACAACAGCTGTGAGGGTCAGGTCTCCCTTCAGCAGGAGGGACAGTCCAGGCCCTCAGCCATGTGTCCCTGTCCCCAGCACTGCTGCTGCTACCCTAAGTGGCAGGAAACATTAACATGCACGGGAGCACAGCAACACACCCCGTGTTAATTTTATGGGGAGTCTGCAAGGAGCGGCTGGGGCTGGGTGTGCGGTCTTGGCACAGGCACAACCTCTCTCCTCCGGCAGCACCGGGGAGGCGCTTCCAGCACACGTTTAAAGAGAGGCACTGGATTACTGGTAATAGCTCAGGATCCCCAGAGAGTCCTTCAGGCCATCTGCCAGCCCGCCCAGCCCGTGGCACCTGCCCACACACTCCTGATGGGATGGCAGAGCCCCCACGGCTGCTAATTACCCTGCAGCTGGTGCTCCATCCCTGGGATGCCGGGTACAGGGAAACCATGCGTGTGGCCCAGCAGGAAAACAAAGCAGGACCCGTTATGCGGAACTGGGAAAGGCACACTGGGCCCTGCCCCCTTTCTCTTCCCTGACACAAGCAGAGACACCCCCAAAACACCAGTGCTGGGGGACTGGAGAGCCAGTGACCCTCATCCCACCCAGGCAGCACAGCATCAGCCCTTCCCTGCCAAATCATCTTTAATGGCACTCCTTCCTCAACTCAGTTTGCTCACTGCAAATATGTCTTTCTCCATGTAGAGGCTTCCCCCCAGTCCTGCAGGGATTCGAGGCACAGCCCAGCAACGCACTGACAAAGCAACAACAGCCCCTTCCCGCAGACTCCTGAGCAGCCTCATGCCCTGATCCACGGGAGTATTTCTTATGCTCACGTACAGCAGCTGCTCAGCAGCTGTAACCTCCACCAGGCTCAGCCTTTCATCCTGGAAATGCTCCTTCCAGCTTATTTAAAGCAACAAAAAAGGGATGAGGATGATTTCTCCATCTAACGGGTTTATTTTCTAATCCAGACATACAGGACTGGCGCTGAGTTGTGGGAGGGACATCTGCCTTCGCCAGGGCAGTGCCTTGGGAAGACCCAGAGCTCCCCCTTTCTCCCCTTCCTCCCCTTCTTTTCCCTTTGTCCCCTCCCTCCCACATTGTCACCCCTGTGTCCACGCCAGGATCATCCCCTCGGTGACACAACGGCACTTGCCCCCCCTGCCTTCCTGGGGCCCTTTCTTTGGCCCCGCAGGCTCTGCTCGAAGCCACTCACCCCAGGGCCGTGGGCAGAGGTGATGCCTGTCTGGAGACAGCAGAGCACAGCCATACATCTCACCCCAAGCGTGGTTTCATCCCAGGGAGAGGTACCTGTGTGCCAGAACTGTGGGTGTGAGGCCATTCGAGGTTGTTTCCTGGGATCCTGCAATAAGTACAGAGCGTGGCTGGGTGATGTAGTGATGGAGAGGGACACTTGGCCCTTCACAGCAGTGGGAAGAATTAGCTGCAAAACCTTAGAAATGGAAACACAGGGTAGAGGACACTCCCCAGAATCCAAGGGAACACTGGAAGCCCTGGAATAAAGCCCAACCCAGGCAACTGTACTGGGTCTAAAAGTGACTTTCCTCTATGTCGGGCTGTCTAGAGGGATTTGTCCCCGCCTGGGAACGTTTGAAGTGGGTAATTTACAGGATGGATTGAAAACTGGTGGAAGTTCATGACAAACAGCACCTTTTGTGGTTCTGCATTTTCCAATGGGATAATTATTGCCCTTTTCCAGCACCCTGCTCATACCCATTTCTCTTTCCGCAGAACACTGTACTTTAATGACGCTTCATGTTTAATCCCCGAGATGCAATTTTGCCTTCCTGCCACAGGCAACGGCCCTTGGATCAGCACAAAGGTCGGCACGGGGACACCCTGGCGGCAGCACTGCCGGGCCACCACATTGCCTCGAGGCACCGGGAATCATCCGCTCTCCTCTGCACAGAGCATCGTGGTTTTTGAGGAGGCTGTTCTGGTGTTGCTGGTGGTAGTGGGATGCTCAGCACAGTGCAGGTCTGTGTCCTGGCCTTTGTCCTGCTGTGTGGAACGGTGCTGGTAGAGTGTGAGGATGCAGGGTGGTGGGGGGCTGGCCCCACTGCACGGGCAAGCACCAGCTCTGTGCCACAGAGTTTTACAGGAAAATATTGCTAAGAAAGGTCACTGGTGGCAGAAACTGAGGAGATCCGTGGGGAAGAGGAATAGCCAGGTCCTGGCTGTGGGAAAGAGCTTGGCCTCACGTCCAGCCCAGACTGCAACCGGCCACGGCGTGGAAATCCCATGGGTGCCTTGACGGTGCTGCTTCTGCTGCGATGCTGGTGGCAGGACCCTGTCCAGGAAGGTGCTGGGGAGGCGATGGGAGGTCTGAAGGCCACGCTGTCCCAGCTCTGGAGGTGGGGAACAGCCCAGGCCAGTGGAGTATCCCAAAGCCGCATAACTCCAGTGCTGCCAGGTGGGAGCCCCATCCGAAAAGGGTTCAAGGAGGCAAGGATGGTGGCTGAAGGCTGGCACAGGCCAAGTCTCACCAGGTGGTATCAGTGTTAGGGTGAGGCAAGGGGACCCCCGCTTCTGCCGGTAGCAGGGTGTCCCCAGGGGCCTGCATGGCTAGGAGCCGGGCCCCTCGGGGGGCTGGGGCGGGGGGCTCAGCTGGCTCTCCAGCAGCGCCCGCGTCCCTTCAGCGGACACCCTCCGCAGCCGCAGCCGCACCGAGCCGTAGGTGCCACCGGTGCGGCGGGAGGCCCGGGCGCGGCGGCGGGCGGCGGCGGCGGCCAGCAGCAGGGCGGCGAGCAGGAGCCCGCCGAGGGCCAGCAGCGCCAGCCCGGCCACGGTGCAGCGGTCGAGGCGGGCGCGGAGCCGGGCTGCCCGCGCCTCCAGCCGCTCCATCTGCCGCGCCGGCACGGCGGGGTCGGGCCGCGCCGCCCGCGGAACGGCCCCCGCCAGCACCACCAGCGCCGCGCCGCCCAGGGCGCAGCCCAGCGCCAGCGCCAGCCCCGGGCCCGCCGGCACCGGCCCCCCCGCGCCCGCACCGGCCCCCGCACCCGCCGCCGCCTCGCCCGGGTTCCGCAGCTCCGCCGCCCGCGGGGACGCCATGGAACCGCCGCCGGCCTGCGCGGCCAGAGGTGAGCGGCCGGACCGCGACGGGATATTCCCCCGGACAGGCGACGGGATGCTCGCCCAAACCCGAGGTGACCCCTGGGTGCGGGATGCTCCCCGTCCCCAGAGTCGCCTCCCTGAACCGGGTTGCCAACCCCACCCCGCAGTTCACCGAACTGGGCTGCTCCTCCTGGGATCCCGCTTACCCGAACCGGGCTACCCCTTGGAGCTGAGTCCCCGCCCGGACCGTCCCCCTTCACCGGAGCTTCCCCGGGTCCCCGCACCGGGCTACTGCCCTTCCCTGAACCCGGCACTTGCCTCCCCGAACCCGGCTCTTTCCTCTTCCCAAACTGGGCTCCCACCACGCCACCCGCCTCCCCGAACCGGGCTGACACCCCCCGCGGGGACACTTGTCCCTCTGACCCCACCGAGCTGCCTCCCTCCGGTCTCGGTTCTCCCGCCGGGCTCTGCCCGCCCGGTCCCCGCTCCCGCACCGGGCTGTGGCCCCGCTCCGTGCACCGGGCTCCGCTCCCGCTTCTCCGCTCGGTCTGCCCGCCCCGCCGGTGCCCTCACCGAGCTGCCCCCCCTTCTCCTCCCGGCCCCCCCAGCCGGGATGCCTACCCCCACCGCCTCCCCGGCTCCCCGGGCAGGTGCCGGTGCCGGTGCCGCCGCGGGGCGGGCGGTGGGTGCCCCGAGCTGCGGTCGCGCACGGCAGCCGCACGCACACGCACACACACACGCGCGTACGGGGGGCACACACATATGCACACACATGCACACACCCGGCTGCACACCGGCACCTCCTGTGCACGTACCCCGTGCAACAAGGACCCCTCCGTGCACTCCCCGACAGCGCCAGAACCCTCCCTGGGCACCTCGGGGGTCTGCGTGGGGAGGGGCATTGGAGGAGAGGACAAGGCAGAACGGTGGGTTTTGCATGGGGTGTGCCTGGGAGACAACCACGGGGCAGAGCTGGGCTGGGGACACTGGGGATGCAGCCTGAGCCCCCTCCCAGCCCTGAAGGCAGCAGGGAGATCTCCCACCTGGCCACTGCCCACCCTGAGTCCCCACAAGGTTACAGCCTGTCCCCAAATCCCCAGAAGGAACTGGAGGTTTGACCCGGGTTTATGCCAGGTGTGAAATGCTCCAAACTGAGACAGCCTGGCCCCTGCAGTCCCACCACAGTCCCACTGCAGTCCCACGGCACAGAGTCCCCCCTTTGCACACACACACACATGCTGTTTATTCAGTTTTTCACAGAGACTCACGTCAGTGCCCACACTCTGCTTCTCCCTGACCTGGCACTGGCCCCAGGCCCGTGCCCCGGCAGTGACCTGCTGGCAGCCGCACGCTTCCCCTCGTTTGTTAATAAGACGTGCTCTATTTCCACATTTGGAGCGGTGCCTGGGGATGTGGATGTAAATCCCGAGCGATAGCGGGTGGGCTGCTGACAGCTGCCGGGAAGGTTTGTCCATCACATTGCCATTCCCTTCAACACCTTCACATGCCTCCAGCATCTCCCACAAGCTCACCCAGTGCTGTCGGCACAGTGCCAGGGACACAGGGATGCATGGCCAGTGCCCTGGGACCCCCCTCTCCTGCCCATGTCCTGAACCCTGTCCCCCCTCAGAGTGTTCCTCTGCAGCCACGCTGGGCGCTCTGCCAGTCACAGTTGGAGAGCATTGCCCTGTGTGGGGATGTCAGATGGGAGTCTCCTGCCACCTGTGCCGTGACAGGGGCAGGGATTTTCTCTGGAGTCTCTGTCAGATGCAGTTAAAAGGGACCAAAAAGGGTCAGAGAGTTTAGGGAGTGCCATAAAAATAAAGAGGTGCATTTGTGTTTTCTGAGGGCTGAGCAGGCTCAGCACCCATCCAGGCTCAGCACCCATCCAGGCACAGTGCCTACCCATGATGCTGACCAGCATCCACCAGACTGGCACCTCCACTCCCCAAGGTGCATCAGGGAACAGGGCTGCAAGGTGGGCTAGGAAAACATGACTCTAAGAGTGGTTTATAGGCTCACTTTTTCCCATCTCAGGGGCATGGATACACATGATTTTATTGGGTTTTTTTAAGTTTGCAGTGGGAGTTTTGTGTGCTGTGACCCACCTGCTCTCTGCTCATGTCTCCTCAGTGTGGATGCTCCATCCCTAGAGTGTTGAAGGTCAGGCTGGAGGGTGTTGGGAGCAGCCTGGTCTAGAGGAAGGTGTCCCTGCCGGTGATAAGGGGCTTGGAATGAGATGATCTTCCAAACCAAACCATTCCGTGACTCTATGAAACACAGAAGCTTCCCAGCACAGTGTCCCTGGGGACTCAGCCAAAAGTGGGCCGAGAAAAAAGCAGAATTAAAAATAAATGTAAGTGCATCCTGACACGTTAACCACATTTAGAGAAGCTTTAGTATCAACCCACTCTGCGGGAAGGCGGGAGATGCTTGGAGACAAGTAGGTCATGGGACACAGATTGTCCCGAATCAGCAGGAAAAGATGGATCTGGAGCAGGCGGGCACATTGCTGTGAACAGACGGGCAGGAGGAGATCTGCTGTCTCACCACTGCCAAGTTCCATGGGAAGACAGAACCACCGCCAGTTTGCTTCTGAACCAGAGCCCTGGTCAAGCCCTCCATCCTGGAGCACCCCAGCCCTGCTGCTGAGGATGCACCGAGGGATGCAAAGGCTGGGAGCCCTGCCAGAATGGGAGTCTGAGGGGCAGAAGCAGAGCTACTCATGCCTTCCTACAGCGACAGGGCTGAGCCTGCCATGGGGTCAGGGCTCCATGCTGCCTGGGGGGGCTGCTCCTGCACCCCGCTCCCCCAGCAGTGCTCAGGAGGCCACCTGCAATGGATGAGGTGGAGGGACGCATCCTGCCAGCATCGCTGCTGGCACTGGGCAGCCCCAGGATCCCACTGCCACTGCTGGATGGGAGCAGGGAGGTGACCCCAGGCCTTTGAAGGGCCCCAGGGCAGCCCAAAAACCTTCCCCAGCCCAGTCCTGAGGGGCTGAGCCTGAGGCTGAGGGCTGGCAAAGGCCACTCGGTCCCTAAGGCGCTGGCACTGAGGGAAGGGGAAGAGACAGACACAGCCAAGATTTATGCTGCCAGCACAGGAGCAAAGAGAGGAGGGAGACAGCCAAGGTCAGAGAGAGCACTGCCAAAATTCACAATGAAACTGCAGGAGTGCTGGAGGGGAGAGACAGAGGGCTTGGAAAGAAAGGGAAAGAGGAGGGAGGTGGGAGTCTGGGACATGGAGCAAGGTGAGGGAGCCAGACAGGGCTGCCAGGGATGGGCACATGTCACTGCTCAGAAGAAATTAATGTGGATGAGAGGGACAGCAAACAGGCAAGCAGAGGAGGACAGCAGGAGCAGGAACATGATGAAGCTGGGTGGGCTGTGTACCTAGCTCTGTCACCCAGCACACCCCTGTGCAGCACAGCTGTCTGGTGCCCATTGGCAGCACTGACCCCCATCCAGCCCCACCACTGAGGTGAAGCTTTGTTCCTGCCTCCTTAGCATTCAGAGCATCCCATGGCAGAGCGAGCGCCCGCAGCCAGCGTGGCTCAAGGTGACTTGGAGGTCAGGGAAGAAACAGCTGGGCAATTCGGGAGCTGGCTCCACACCGTCCAGAGATCCAGCAGTTTGGGAGGGCCAGCGGTGCCTGGCACATCCCGGCCTCTCTGCCTGTCACTGCTGGTCCCCGTGTGACACAGACACAGCACCCCAGTGCTCCCCACAGGGCAGGGGGGGTTCTGATCCTGGAAACTGCCCCCAGGAGCTGTTGCCACTGCCGAGGCAGGCAGGGCTGGACGTCAGCCTTGGCACTGGGGAGGGCTGGAGCTGCACAGTGGGCACCAGTGAGGGCAATTTCCCTCTCCCAGCGTGTGGAGCGCCCGAGCAGGTTTGGTGCCTTGGCAGGGGCAGTGGACACCTTCTTTGGGGCTCATGGGAGGTTCCTCCACGTCCCTGTTGGGGATACATCATTCCAAGAGTGGTTTGTAGCAAAAATCCCTCTCCTTTCCCTAAAGTCTGAGCCTTAGTCCAGGGTTCCCACTCTGCCCAAAGGCAGATGGAGAAACAAGAGCCCTGCTTACCACTATGACCAACTGCAGAGGTGGACTGGGAAGAGGCTCAGCACTTTCCTGGTGATAATTAAGATCTTGTTATCTTCAACTAACACCAGGGAGACAGGGAAAACCACAGGTGCCTTGTGATATGGCAACAGCTGATGCGCTGGGCTGTGCCTGGGAGCAGCGGGAGCCTTGCTGTGCTCTGCCTGAATATAAAGCATGGAAAGCACGAAGCAGAGGGTGACAAACTAATTTTTTCCTGGCTGGTGACACTTAAGTGTGCAAACATGCTGCTTTCTGCTCTTGGTGGTGGCTGGGGCTGGTGCAGGTGGGTGGCTGCGAACCTTTCCCCTTCCCCCTCTGAAGATCTGGGTTTTGGGGGACTGTTTGTGTTTGTTGTTTGTTTGTTTTCCTTTTTTTTTTTTTTTTTTTTCTTTCCCTCTGCAAATTTGCTTCACAAGGGAGTTTTATCAGACGTGCCTGGTGCCACGCAGGAGCTGCTCACCTGCAGAGAAAGAGATGGATGGGTGGGGTGGTGTCTGCAAGCAGGCTCTTAGAATGTCAAGGGTGAAAAGGGCTGGGAGGAGAGAAGGGGAAGGAGAAAGAGAAGGAGAGGAGGGAAAAGAGAGGGAGAGGAGGGGAAGGGGGACAGGAGAGAAAGGAGAAGGAGGGGAGTGAGATTGCTCTCCTCTCTTAGGAACCTGAAATGCGGGGCGCAGCACCGCGCTCCCGGGGATGTGTGGGTGCTCCCGGTGAGCCCCAGCAAGGAACGGGGAGTTTTTTCCAGCGGCAAGGCCCTGCCTGGGTGCTCCGGAGCTGTGCAGGGCCGTGGCGAGGGGCACAGGGGCTCTGCAGGGCCGCGGCCGGAGCTGCCGCGAACCGGCGGCTCCCGGGACGGCTCCGGGACCCCCCGGCGGAGCCTTCCCGCCCTCGGCCGAGCCGCGGCCTGAGGAGGGTCCGCCCGTCCCGCCGAGCCCCCGCGCCCCCTCAGAGCCCGCTAATCCCGCCCCATCCCCGCAGTGCCGAGCTGGGCCCCCTCAGTGCCCGGCTGGGCCCCTCCATCCCTCAGGATACAGATAAATCCAACCCACACCCCCCCCATCCCACCACGGCATTGTGCGGGCCCCCTGTCCCCTCAGATCCCACTAAATCTCCTCATCCCCTCAGCGCCCGTCTGGGTCACTCCATCCCCTCAGGTCCTGCTAAATCCTCCCATCCCCTCACGGCCTTGTTGGATTCCTTCCCCTCCCTGTCCCCTCAGGCACCACTAATTTCCCCCCCTTCCCCTCAGGGTCCCACTAAATCCCCCCCTCTGTCCCCTCAGGGTCCCCCTAAATCCTTTCATTCCCTCAGTGCTCTCAGGGTTCACCCGTCCTCTTAGCACCCAGCTGGGTGCCCCCATTCCCTCAGGATCCCACTAAATCCCCCTGTCCCCTCATGATCCCACTGAATTCCTCCATCCCCTCAATACCTACCTGGGTACCACATCCCCTCAGATCCCAGTAAATCCCCCCTCTCCCCATAGCACTCAACCAGGTCTCCCATCCCCTCAGATCCCACTAAATCCCTAGTCCCACTTGGTGCCCCAGGACCCATTTCCCGTTGGAAGGGGGAATTTCCCAAGCGGAATTTCAGCAGGGCTGCCCTGCAACCCTTGGCCGGGCACCATGTTCTACGTCCATTTGCTCATCAGCAAGCGGGGGCCGCTGGCCAAAATCTGGCTGGCTGCCCACTGGGAGAAGAAGCTCACCAAGGCACATATCTTTGAGTGCAATTTGGAGGCCACCGTGCAAAAAATCATCTCCCCAAAGGTAGGCTGTGCCATGAGGAGCAGCCTCCTGGAAAGTCCTAGGGTGGAGGTGCTCATCTCTCATAGGGAGTTCTGTTACTACTGTAACTGTAAAAAAAAAAATAAATCCTAACTCCTGAACAACCTTTTTTTTTTTTTTTTTTAATCCTTCAGTTTGCTATAGCTCTGCGAACCTCTGGACACTTACTCCTGGGAGTGGTGAGGATTTACCACAGGAAAGCCAAGTACCTCTTGGCAGACTGCAGTGAAGCTCTGACCAAGATGAGGACGGCCTTTCGCCCAGGTGTGTTCAAAATTCAGCACTTTCCCAGCTGCATCCTTTACAGCTCTCATTTTAGAAGTTAATTTTCGGATATTGTTAAATACACATTATTGGTCCCAAAGGAAACTGAACATACTTGTGCCTACCACTGGTGTTTAGTCTGGCTTAATTTAATGCTATTTCAAGTTTTTGACTCCCTTAACAGAAGCAGCGTCTTAAGTGGGCTTACAAGGAGACGCCTGAATTCAGGCTCCATTGCTGGATAATTAATTTTAATTTCTGATGACACCAAACAGCATGTCTAACAGTGTCAGTGCCAGACCTGACAGCATGTTTTGAGCTCTGGCCATGTAGCCAGGGAGAAGGGAGCCGAGATTACTGGACCCTTATCCAACAGGCTCTATGTTTGTTGTACTTAGGCAACAAATGGGAGGCACTGTTGTCTAAACAAAGGCTGAGAGTGGGGACACCAATGTCTATTGCCAGCTCTAATGTGCTTTGTGACCTGTTCTGTTTGCAGAATAGAGAAAAATTACTCTGCATTATTCTCAAATATATGATTAGGGAATCATACACTCACAGAACCGTTTAGGTTGGAAAAGCCCTCCAAAGATCGAGTCCAACCGTTCCCCCTGCGCTGCCAAGGTCACCACTAAACCATGTCCCCAAGGACCACATCTGCATGTGTTTTAAATCCCTCCAGGGATGATGACTCCACCACTGCCCTGGGAAACCTGTGCCAGGGCTTGACAACCCATTCAGTGAAGAAACTTTCTTTAATATCCCCCTGGCACACCTTGGGGCTATTTTGGATAGATACTATAGCAGCTTGGAGGGCACTACGCAGCAGAATAAAAGGACAAGAGTCACTGCAGAAACAGAGACTCAAACTAGATAGAAGGGGGGGAGAAAATCTCAGAGGAAGCGGTAAAATGCTGAAACAGGCTGTCCAGGGATCCTGTGGGATCTCCATCAGCAGAAACAGTCAAAAGTGATCTGACTTTGAAATGAACCCTGTTCTGAGCGAAAGGTTGGGTTAGATGACCTTCACAAATCCCCTCTCACCCAAATTGTTCCAGGATTCTCTTGGTTCCCCAGTTCTTGCAGTCTCAGTACATAATTATTTGATGCTGGAGACACAGGAGAGAAAAGGAAACCACAGTGATTCATTTGCAGTGCTACGAAAGACTCTGGGCCAAATGTCAGCTGGGAGAACCTTCCAGGGACTTAAAGCAACTGTTCAGAAACACAAGTACTTACATATTTCAGGTCCTGTTGCAGCAGGCTCTTCTGTAAGTGCCTTCTAAAAGATGTGGAAAATAAAATTCCACTTTGGAGTGCCTAAGCTTTACCTTGCTGTGATTTAGCATGGCAGCAGCCCCTCCTGACAGGTTTATAGGCTTATTATACCTACTTGGGAGAACACTACTTTTGTTTTATTGATACTTATTTCGTTATTTTGTCTCTTTCTTTCAGGGCTTCTTGACCTTCCAGAGGAGAACTTTGAGGCTGCTTATCAGTCCATTACATTACCTGAAGAATTTCATGATTTTGAAACACCACTACCAGATGTAAAGTAAATGCTTCCCTAGTTTTTATTCATTCTTTTAGTGTTTTCAGAAGTAAAAGCAATCCTTGCTGCTATCTGATCAAAGACTCAGATGGCGTTGTTTTGATTTGATAACCGAATTCTCCTAAATTCTGACCTTTACAAAGCTAAAGGTACAGTCTTTGTGCTTTGATAGGTTTCCTCAGTCCTTTCATCAACAGACCTTCACAATGAATTAATGCCTTGAACTTAGACTCCAGGATTTTAAATTGACTGGGTGAAGGATGCAAACAGCTTTCTGATCTCAGGAGAAGAGATAAAAGCTAGTACCAGTCGTGGAGGCTCTGACCAGTAACCCCACTGTTGTACCGTTCCACTGCGTGACTTCATTTCATTTCTGCTCCACTGCTCTCTGGGGTGTTTTATCAGCAGGAGTCAGCCTGGCTCCTGAGGAAAAGCCAGCTGATTTCTTTGGCTTTTCTGACACAAATCAGCATTAATGTAGAAAACTGGAAAAAAAAGAAAAAAATAAAGCAGGAGGCCAAGTTATGTTTCTGATGGCTCTGATGCCCTGAAGGCTCAGGATAACAGATTTCCACCGAGGCTTCCTCTGCACCTCCCCATAAATAAGGTTTGATGGGATCAGTAAGGGTTTATTATTCTGTAAGTACAGCTGCAGTGTAATACCATTTATTCAAGGGCCTCGGTGTGCTAACTGTGTTCTGTAAAGGTGCCTTTTCTGCCAGCCCAAAGAATTGTGTCATTCAGTTTAAAAAATGTTTCAGGAACAAAATCGAATGAGTCCAAGTTTACTGGCAAAAGAGAGTGGAGAAATATAGGGGTTTGTGATAAAATTCCAGGATTGAAGGCTGTTTAGAAACAATTTTCACATTCCAGCTGAATGCTCAATGTGCTTCAGTTCACCCTCTCTTTTTATAATGTTTTTTTCATCAGTGCCATCGATGTTGCTGAACATTTTACCTTGAATCAGAGCAGAGCTGAAGACATCACACTCGCAGAGGATTACGAAAGCAGTATACCTCTCTGTGTCAGAAACTTTGGTGAGAGAAGCTGAGAAATTAGAAATATTCTGTCATACCATCTTGGGCTTAAAATTGTATGTAAGCATTACAATCTGATATCAGACACTGAGAATCAAACTAAGCATTCTCTGCTTTTACTGAACTAGCGGAATTGTTTATCCCAACTGAGGTATGGGTTGTCTTGCAATCTTTTAAAAATTATTTGAAAAAAATAGGAAATGGATGAGTCTGGGTTTCCCAAACTCATGCAGATGAGGCATCAGAAGGTGTGTGTTTCCTCAGAGGAAGAAGCAGATGCACTGAGAAGACAAAGCTTCCTTGAGGGCAGCTTCCTGACGAGCAGTAACAGTCTGGGGACTGATCACAACTCGGCCAGTGCCAGTGGTGACAAGTCTGTGCTGCATGAAGATGTGTTCTGCTTCCAGCATGACTGCTTTGGAGATGAGGAGGATGCTGCAGATATGATTGGTAGGGCTTGCAACAGACAAACTGAATCAGTTTCCTCTCCAAATGTTTTTATTCTTACAGGAAAACAAACAAGACAGCACCGGAAGTGTTTGTTTTCAAACATAAATTCCATGTTATTTGTTGTTTTCGTGCTTTGTTTTGTTTTCTATTTGTCACTAAATCCATGATCACCTGGACATTGCCAAATTGGTTTAAAGGCTATATTTCATTATTTTAGAATTAAAGGCATTAAATTTATGCTTAATGCTTAACAGTTTAACTTCTATTTTCAAAGGTGAAATAATACAGCATTTTATCCTTAGTGTTGTAATAACAAAGGCAGCAAAGCATCTTCTACATCATTATGGCTTAGAATATGTATGTAAACCTTATATATTTATACCTTCTAACACTATCAAGACCATATTTTTCAAAGAAAAGGTAGAAATTTCATACTTAGGACTAACCCTCTCCTTTTTGTGCTGTTGCAGACAGCCCCACCACTGACAGCCATCTGGGGAAGCTGAGCTTGCTTTCCTTGCAGAGAATTAACCTTAAGTAACATCAAGCTGTATCAGGCTATTTCATGACTACCCAGGCTTAGGATGACTAAAACTATGTGTTCTGTGTTTAAGAAATCCTGTTGAGGGATGAGCAAAATGGCCTAGATAAAGACATCCTGGACATGGAGGAAGCACGCCCTTTGTCACCAGATCTGCCGGAGAACAGCACAACCAGTGAGTCTGCAGAGTCTGCTCCAGCTCACACAAACCCCTCTGTTCCTGTGTTAATGCCTAAGGTCACACACAGTCAGCTTTGTGCACCATCCTGTGGCTTTTTCCTTTCTTCATTTATTTTGCTGCTTTTTTTTTTTTTTTTTTCCCCTAAACTGCTTCATCCACCCTATTTTTGGGTAATTTCCTTTGATTTAGGGATTCCAAATTTGTAACCTGCCTTTGCTTAGAAACTCTTTTATGTGGCATCCTGTTGGATACGCTGTTGGTCCACCCTGCTGCTCACGGTGTGATGTTCCTTTCGAGGGGGAAGGAAACCCAATAAGGGTGTGCTGTAACTGTGAATTTTCCCTGTGAGGGCTTAAAAAGCCTTTCCCAACCTAAAAAATTCTATTTCTGGTTTCGTATTTCTGTGACAAATGACAAGTAATTCCTAAGGGTGTTGCTAATCTTTTGGTTTGATGTTGATGAAATAAATTACATTTCGAAAAGTGTTTCTGGGAAATGTTTATCTTAAATCCTTATTCCCCCACCCCAGTGTTCCTTTAAAACTGAGAATTCTGGAACAGCTTTAAAGGGATAGAGTGGCTCTTGCCCCTGCTTGTGCTCGTGCTGGTGCTCCCTGTTCCTTCTCTACTGATAGAAATGTCCACACTGTCCTGCACTTGCCTGGAGCTGCAAACAGCTACATACTGAAAGCACAGACATTTTCTTTCCCCTGAACACTTTTTCTTGTGTGGGTTTTTTTCCAGATCAGTTCTGCTGCCTCTTCCACTGCCTGGCCCTTCTGGGGTCAGCAAAGGGAAACCTGCAGGGCAGGGTATGAGCAGCAGCAGCGCCAGTGATTACTGCTGATCGTAATTATGAGATTATAAACAAAACCACAGTTGTCCAATTCTCACCTTTTCCCTCTGATATCCTTCTCTGACGTGCAGCTGAGGTGTCAGTCCGTCTTGCAAACTTTCTTTCATTTGGGTTGTTTGCTGGGTTTTCTTGCAGTTGAATCCAACTGTGCAGACACCACCATGAAGGACGTAAGTCACACAATGAATGAGACATTCCTTCTGTTCAGAGAAGAAGGATTTGTGCTTGAGCCAGTTGATGACACAGGTCAGAACTTGATCACTTTCTTGCTGACTGTTTGCATTAACTACGTTTGGTTTTCTTAGGAGTCAAAATATTTGCAGAAGCGATTATTCCCACTCCAATTTTCATCTGCTTCTTCTGTCAGAGTTCCATTTTATGGGAACTATTATATAAAACCAGTGTCAGGTCATTTGTCTGATTAGCCCAAGTCTCTTCTTGCAGTTTATTCCATGCACCAAATCCAGTCTTGTTGCTCAGCTGGCACTGCAAGCCCGGCCTGCTCAGGGGTGGTACTGAAATTTCACCTGAAGAACTTTTATTACCAGTGATTTTTAATTTTATTACAGCAGTCACTTTTGTGTTTAAAATAACAATCTTAAAACTTTTGGAAAATGTTGGTTTGTGAACTTTTAACTCTGATAAGACCCAAAAAGAAAAGAACTACATTTCCTCGGTGAGTAAATCTAAATGTTACCTATCACCCTGCTGGCTGTTTGCAAATAAACAAGCTCATGTTGACAGCAATATTTACCATATTGGAATTTTCCAATACTCAGGAAGTTATGACTACATAACCAATCTGCGCCTTTCTTTTGTGTTTGTATCTTGATTAAATTGCTAAAGGACTAAACTGACAAACACAGATATGAATTATGAGGTAATGAAACCTGTTGAGTGCAGCAGCAGTTTTTGGATCAGTTAACTTCCTGATGGATTAAAGGCAGCTTATTCAGTCTTGCTGCTATATCATGTGTTCTCATTAAGTCCTCCTGTTCCCCGTTCTTTAGCACAATAGTCATATGTCTTCTGTAATAAAACATATGGGAATTTCCTGTACAAGAGTACAAAGAGTGAAGACTTTATGAAATCTTTCGAAGAAAGGGCCTGTGCACTTGTACTTTGATTTTTTTTTTTTTTTTCAAATCTGGGCGGTGTTTGGGAGGTCAGCAGCTGGTTTGATTCAAGGGGCTTTGTTTTTTTTTTTAATTATTTTTTTGTGCTTAGTGTCCCGGGAATAGACCTTAAGACTTGTTTTTTTTTATTACTTGCTCTCTATAGCTGTCACCCCAAGGAAAAGAAACAAAAGAAAAAGGAAGCTGCTGGTGGATGTACAGAAGGAGCTCAGCTGCAATGCCATTTACAACCAGCTCACCAACTGCACAGACATCCTGGCCACGCTGGAACTCGCTCCCCCAACCAAGAAGACGATGATGTGGAAGGAGTGGGGGGGTGTGGATAAACTCCTGTCCCACTCCACGCAGCCCGTGGTTCACGCTGACCTGCAACAGGTAAAGATCAGCTCCCGGGGGGGTTTATGGCACTGTGTAGATTCCAGGACTGTTGCAGAGCTGGGGTCTCGCTGACAGGGCTTTTGCAGACTCAGTTTGATGCGAATTCCAGTGCCAGGGGAAGCATTTCCTTGCACTTGCTCTGCAGTGCAAGTCAGCTGGACACCCAATGATTTATTTGCACACTCACCACTAATTGCTTCATCATCTCTGGAGTCACAGCCTTAACATCCTGCAGCCCAACGAGAAGGGAAAAATTACAAAGACATGAGAGTTGCTGTTTCATTTCACACACTGGCACCTGACTGACCTTACACTAAGCCACAGCTTTTTGCATTTCTGTCCATTTCTTTTCTACTTTCTCCTTTGTTTTATTGTTCTCTGCCTTGTTTCCTCTCCATAATCAATCTGAGACACCTTTCATGTCTATTGACTTTAGAATCATAGAGTCAGCCAGGTTGGAAAGGACCTCTGAGATCATCAAGTCCAACCCTTAAATGTCCAACCTTTAAATGGACATCAGACTTAAATACCATTATTAGAGCATTGCTGATGGATTTGGAAGGGTTCACTGCAGCAGTGCAGCTTCACCACTTAGAGTCCAGCTGCAGAATTACAACTTGCTCTCTAAGAGGATGAAAACTGCAGACATTTGTTTCTTTCATCCTTCCTGGCTTCAAGGAAAAACGATCCAAGCAGCTCCTAAGATTTTTTTTTTTTTTTAACGGAGTTCATGGACAATGCTGAAGCTGCAGAAGGCTGTTACTTCAAAAAAAAAAAAAAAAAAAAAAAAAAAAAAAAAAAAAAAAAAAATCAAACCTGCAGATTTTCAGAATGACCTAATTTAAATATTGAAGTTCTGGGTAACAGTATATAACATGCAGCTCATATTCGTACCTTCGTCTTGATGTTTGCAAATAATCTGACATGATGTTCTGAAAGCAAACAAAGGAAAAATAATTCTTTTCAGCTGTTTGAAAAATGCTTCAAGAGTGTCAGATTTAAGATGAGAGGAGGTGGAGTACAGAGGGTCTCTGAAATGGAAGAAATGCGAAAAGAGCAAGATACCACAGGTAATATTTTAATTCTGTTGTGCAGAATTACTATTTTCTATTCTACATAATGTTTGAGACACGTGCATGGTGTTTGTGTGCAGTATTCTACGAATCAAAGGCCAAAAAAGTTAAATGTTTAGGGAGTTAAGGGACTGTTGTTATATACATATTAAAAAAAAAAAAAAAAAGGTTGTTTTGTATGTTTGCTTTTATTCGTCCTTTGCTGTTCTTCTGTTCTTTAGAAATTAAATGAAATGCAAATCTTTTTCTTCCTTGTGGCATGAGGAGATATTTTTAGTCTTACCTATGGTTTCTCTGCCTCTGAAACTGCAGATTTGGGTGGTGTTATTTGGGGTTTTTTAAATATAACAACAACAAAAAAATCTTCCCACTTATTCTGAGCTTAATCAAACTGCTCTCCAGATTCCCAAATTCATGTAAACAATTCTATTTCACTCTGGGAGATCTGTTTTTGTTAACATCAGACAAATAGAAATGTCATGTTTCACTCTGTGAAAACTAACCTGTGTTTCTGCCTCAGAAATGAATCAACAAACCCACCTCCTGTGAGTCCATAAAGGTCAACTTTTAGAAAAGGAAAAGCTCCCTTGGAAGGTTCTTCTTCCATGCTCCTGTTGGGAAGGATATTTCTTTGAAATTTGCTCATTCTGGCTCCTACTCTCAAAGATTGCAAACTAGGGTGTGATTTTTGTTTTTCAGGTGTTTTTTTTTTAAGGACACACAGTAAATGCCTCCTGAATTCTGGTTTTCTATTAATACAGGGATGCTGCCAGTAGAAGAGCCAAGTTACCTGCAGGAGTCAGCTCATTCTGAGACTGAGAGAAATATTAGAAATGATTCCTTTATGATTATTCCACCACGGAATGCCAGAAATGAAACCAATGAGAACTGTGATGAAACCATAGTGAGCAGTTTTCCTCAGTTTTAGAGATCTAAGTGGGTTTATATTGGTTCCACTCTATGCTAAGGTCCCATTAAAACACAGTAAGAAATTACTGATGTTTGAAAAGGAGGCTAACGCCAGCTAAGAGTGCATGAAGTAGCTTGTGTGATGAAAGTTTATTTATAATTACTTTGGTAAGCTCTCACAGTGAAGGAATGGTTAATTAAAATGTCTATTGATCAGTAGAGATTACAGTCTAATCGCTAAGTATAATAAATGATAAGTCCTACAACAAGGTCCTTCCCTGTGTCAGGAAAGGCACAGTGGAAATAGCAACAGTTAACTCACTTTGGAGAACTTCATTGTAGTAAATTCTCTGAGCAGAGCTAAGTGATGAGGATCTCACTGTATGGGTAAATGGTCAGCCCTACTGATTGTCCTTTCCGTGCCCACAGCTGGATGGGGCAGCTTTCTCCGAGAGCTCAAAAACTTCCTTGGGCCAGGAAGCTGAAGAACAGCAGGTGGAGGTGCCAAAGGTGTGTGTCCTCAGAGCTGATGGCCCTGCCTTGTTTCAGAGGAGAACTCTTTCTCAGAAATATTAAAGAAAAAAAAAAAAAAAAAAGAAAAGAAAAGGTGTGAGCACAGAGGTGTCAGAGGCACCTGATTCCCTGAGTTTGGCCACCCAGATGCCCAGCTCTGGCTTGGTTTTCAGTCAGGCTGGAACTCCTGTCCTTTCCATCATGTTGTGTTTACAAACACTAACCTTCTCTTTACTTCCTCTCAAGGAGCAAAAAAGGATCAAGAAGGACAGTGAAGAAATAAAATGGAGCAAAAGAACTCTTCAGTTACACAAAACTTTACAGGTACCAGTACTGGGTCTTGTTATTAGACACCAAAAGCAGGTTGGTGTGTTGATTTCACATGGACCGTGTCAGGAAAGCTCCTCCTTCCGCTGCCCACGTCGCTGCCCCTCACCTGCAGTGTGTAACTCTGCTTTTTGGGGTCTTTATGTCAGGATTTTGGGTGCCTGACGTGGGGTCTCCTCCCACAGCTGCAAGAATCAATAGAATTTTCTGAATGTCACTTTATAGAAATGTATTTGTCCAAATAATAAATAAATACTTAAAACTGTGGTGTAGCCTTCAAAAAACAAGTGATAAGAACACTTAGTTCTTGCCTATGAGGTCCCTGTGACTCTGTAAGCAGAGAACAGGCTGTGCATGGATATTTAGTGTTTTCAGACACAAACTATGCTGGAAGGGCTCCGTTGGTGTCATGGAATTCAGTGCAATTGCAGGTTTTAGTAACACATGTAGGTACCAGCAATATTGTGGCAAAAAAATGTTAAGAGCCATTTCCATAAATGCGGATGCCAAGATACCCAGAGAGGCTGTAGATTCCTCATCCCTGCAAGTGCTCAATGCCAGGTTGGACGTGGGTTTGGTGAAAGCTGGTCTAGCGGAAGGTGTCCCTGCCTGGAGCGGGGGAATGAGATGATCTTTAAGGTCCCTTCCAACCCGTTCTGTGATTCCACAAAGGCCGGATCCAATTCGAGGTTCTCAAGCCGAGACCTCCCCTCTGGGCAGCGCTCTCTGCTTGGAGCCCGTGGGATCCCGTTTGCCTGCTGGGAAAGCTGACCTGACCACTTTCTCCTTTCCCTCACGCAGCACCTGAGGAGATCAGGCTCGTGCTCCTTCAGTTTTCGGGAGCTCTGCCGGAACAACAGCCGGAAAGAAGCGGCAGCCAAGTTTTACGTCCTCCTGGTCCTGAAGAAGCAGCAGGTCCTGGAGCTGCGGCAGCGCGAGCCCTTCGCGGACCTCACGGCCACGGCCGGGCCCATGTTCGGCACAGTGGGATCAGCTCACCAAAACACACCTTAGGGGACGTCCTTGCAGCAAATGGTTTTCCTGGGAAAAGGGTTGAGCGTCTTGTCAAAGCGTGGGAGCTGAGCAGAGAGCTCTCCCTGCCATTTACACCCCTCAAGCAGTGGCCTGTGCGGGTGTGCTGCCCCAGGTGCTCACTGCTGGGCTTGGCTTTAATATTTATGGTTATAGGATGAGTTATAGGATGGTTATAAGATAGGTTAATAAAATACCATTAAATATATATTCTATATAGGGGATTTACATTGTCGGGGATTTTATAAAAGTCCTTGAAGGGTTTTTATAGAAGTCCTTCAAAGCCTTTTTCGGGGACCACCTTTGGAGATTACATTATTTTTGTCGAGGCTTGTGTCTGTTAATCCTCTCACACCATCAGTAAGAGATGTCTGTTAACTCCCCTTGGCAAAAAATTTAGTTAAAATTATTCCTTTCAAAGAATGTTTAGTATTTGATATTTTAAGATCTAGTAAGGTCCTGTCTCCGGTGTTGATTTTTGTGTGTTCAGGCAGACAGAGGTTACACTGGCCCTAGAAGGGTCCATAAGCTTTAGGAAGAAATTCTATTTCCTAGGAATCCTGCTATGTCAGATTTCACAGAGCTTGTTTACTTATTAGCACCTTTATTCACGTGTAGATTTACTTAAAAATTGATGTTAACAGAAATGTTACTAGTTCCTTGTATTTTTGTCTAATTTAAGATAAATTTTACCCCTTTCACTGTTATCTTCTGAAGCTCTTCGTTTTGTTGCCTCCAGCAGGCACCACAGGGGTGGTTGTGCCCCCACTCAGGTGCTCTGGTGCTGTGGGGACACTACTTCATGTGGAATCGATAAAAATTAGATGTTTCCTTCACTTGTTGGTGTTTTTTTTCAGAAGGATCAAATCCTGGGGGTTCATCTCAGTCAGGGATTTGGTGATTTTACTTAAAATTGGAAAGGATAGGTGACGTTGTCGCCTGGCTTTTAGGTGTTCACTCATCTCAGTGACACCCCTGTGTCTCTAGGCCCTCAGACGTGAGTGGTTCCTGTCACACAGGGTTCAGGGGGCTGGTTTTGGTGAGAACCTCTCCCTCTCTCCCCACAGCAGGTCCATCCCTGGAGCAGTGCTCCCGCTCTGAGGGTCTGAGCATCCCAGGAAACCAAGCACTGCAGACTGCAGAGGGAAGGAGAAACTATTTGTCTCCCCCAAAAGCCATCAGGAATGACTCTGCATCTCACAGCAGAGCTGCTGCCTGGGCCACATGGTCAGAGCTGCTCCAGTGGCAGCAGATGTGATAACTCATTAATTTTCCTTTCAAGGATAGAGGCTGTGCACTGGATTCACCAGGAAAAAGGGAGACAAAAGGCAGCTGGAGGCGGGCAGGAATAAATGGGAGGTAGAAGATATATATATAGACTGAAAAGAGTCTATGTGTCGGGATTAATGAGGTACAAATCATGCAGGAAATAGCGCTGGAGGAAAGACGAGAACGCATTTACCAAACAGGTTTGTCAGAACTCCGG